CCTTAAAATGTTTTTAGCTTATTTTTGAATGTGGTTGCCTAATAGGTGCAGCATTGCCTTTTAGAGCTCTGTACTATTTCATATCAACCCAAATATTTCCTTGAATACTTGCCATTCCCATTTTTATCTGCAAGTTTACCCAGTAACAATTTAAGTATGTTTGGTTAATTTTACTTAGTCTTCAGTAGACTTAACAACTTGGTCAATGTCTCTTCATTCTCACTGCAGACTTCGGGCTGAATTTTCACACAAGTTGTTTGACTTTCGAGGCCTCAAAACAAACTGAGATAAACCTGGATCTGAATGTCCATTTCTGGCAGATTCCACTTTTTTTGTTGGCAAGAGAAAGGGGTGTGGCTTAAAACACAAGCAGGAAACCAGAAATTGACAAAGCCATTTAAAATAGAGTTGAAACTAAACCCACTTCTACTGTTCCTAGAATCTTACACTTGTACAGATGACATGAATTTATGGGGAAGTCATAAGCACATGTGAAGGTGAGATAAGGTCTGTTTAAGTGTGATGATATGAAGCTATTTAAATCCCCAGCCCTTTAAAGAGTCTAAAAAGGCTGCAGATTTCAGAAGCAATAAAGAAAAAGACATCCACTGCTAGAGTCCATTCATTGACAGGCCGTCTACTTTGGCATCTAAAAACACATTAGGCATCTGTTCCCTCAGTTTCAATAGAATTCAGTGTTGCCATTTCCCAAGGGTTGTTAATACAGTCAAGTCAATTACAAACTCTTGGCTAATTTTGAAAAGTTTGAAAAACACTCATCTCAGTAGGATGGTTAATTTTCTAAGTTTGACTAACAATGTTAAGGATTATTAAAGGGTTGGCTGACTTTGATTTGACTAGACTAGACTATTGTTTGCTTACTTGAATGGGTTTCATTAATGAAATTTTCTCAGTATCAAGTATGCATCAAGTTCTTTTTGATTGTTAAAAGTTTAATTTTATTCATCTCCGTGTGGTTCTTGAAGAAGCTAGATAAGTCCCTATGGAGATAGCATGAAAGGGTTTGAATGGCTGTAGAAGTAGTTTGGGGTTTGAGATGGTGTGGGGAGGGTCAGGGCAGTGAGGGCTGAAGGACCTAACAACATTTCATGAAACAAAACCGTTCTGTACTCAGCAAAGGTCTCAGTTTTATCCCTCTGTGTCCCCTCCTTAATGAATTTCAGTCACAACATGATGTTGAACTCTTCATCCGTTGCCTTCGCCTCCGTGCCTGTTTCTTTGGACAAGAGCCCTCTCCCCATCCCACAGACCCCTTCATCCACCTCCAAAACTCTCCCTCCACCTCTGGCCTTTTACCTGCACTCAACTTGTTCTTTGAGAACTGTCAACATGGCATTGGTCGCTTCAATTTCTCTAACCCAGTTCTAAGGAAGGGTCACCAGACCCAAAATGTTAACTCTGATTTCTCTGCACAGATGCTGCCAGACCTGCTGAGCTTTTCTAGCAATTTCTGTTTTTGTTTCTGATTTACAGCATCCACGGTTCTTTCAGTTTTTATTTAACGTTTGATAAAACTGGGCTAAAGTCTCGAGAGACAACAGCAGACCTTCCAACCAGCCTGCCTCAGTGTTCATCCACCTGTGTGGTCGCCACCGAAGATGGTGGGGCCAACTCTATGCCACCCCTGCTGAAAATATAGTGAGCAGCCTTTGTACTTTCCTTGTATTGAAAGTAATGCCCTTTTAAAGTAATCAAATGTGTCAAGTTAGGAACTTCGTCGATTTGCCTTCCCATTTCAAAGGCAGAAATCTGGTCCTTAATATCAAATCCAATTGTTTTATGGTAACTTTTTGTTAATATCTCCACTACTGTCAGATTATTAAACATTTCTTTTGTGGTTACACAAGACAAAATCCAATATAGTCAGTTCTTTTATTGATTATAAAACATTATTTCAGAAAGCTATTCTGAATATATTAAAGGAATTTAAATGCAAATTGATTAAGTTCAAAAGACAATACTGCTGCCAATGCAGCAAAGCCTTAATATTGCATTTCAGTGTCAGCCTAAATGATGTGCTTTTGTTTCTGGAATAGACCTTCAACCTGAAATTTCCTGATACAGTGGGTGAACTGTTACCCACTGAGTTCCGGCTAAGATCAAATGAAATGTTTAAGGAGAGGAACGTAATGGATTTAATTTGAAACATATGGTAATGGTAAAACAAACGGGATTTCTGACAAACAAAGCTCTAGGACTTAATGATTGTCACACGAAAAGGACATGGCTCCGATTTTTCAGAATCACACCAGGGCTTAAGGCATTAATCTACAATGATAGATTGCATAAATCTGGATTTTCTTTCCATGAGTTTATAAGATTGAGGATGATTGATGAAGGAATTTGATTGGGTCAATACACAGAGAATCTCTTTCCCATAGTGAGGGAATATGTACAGGTTTGGTAGTATGGTGATAACACTCCTGGACTAGCCACAAAGTTAGTGATACATGACTTCAAATCCCACGATTGCAGTTACTGAAGTGAATTCAGCTCATTAAATACAATAGGAAAAATTTTCAAAGAAAGCTGTTATCAGTAACAGTGAAACATGAAACAACTGGATTGTCATAAAATCCATCTAGTTTATTAATGTACTTCTTGATAGGGAAATCTGCCATCCTTACCTGGCCTGGCCTACATATGACTCCTTAACCACAGCAATGTGTTTTTTTTTCCCTATATTCATTAGTGGGATGAGGGCATCGCTGACTAGGCAGCATTTATTGCCCATCCCTAATTGCCTAGATGGCAGTTCAGAGTTAACCACATTGCTGTGGGCATGTAGCATTTATTGCCCATCCCTAATTGCCTAGATGGCAGTTCAGAGTTAACCACATTGCTGTGGGCATGTAGGCCAGACCAGGTAAGGATGGCAATTTCCTTCCCTAAAGGTCATTAATGAACCAGATGAGTTTTTTCCAACAATCAACAATGGATTGATGCTCATTAGATTCTTAATTCCAGATATTTTATTGAATTCAAATTCCACCATCTGCCGTGGTGGGATTCGAACCAGAGTCCCCAGAACGTTATCTGGGTCTCTGGATTAACAGTCCAGTGATAATACCATTAGGTCATTGCCTCCCCCATTGACTCTTAACTACCTTTGAAATGCCCTATGAAGCCACATTGGTGCTTCATGATCACCGTCTCTGGGATTACGGATGATACATACTCTCCAATGAACTCTCCAAAGAGGCTCACACCAATAAACAAAAATCCAGAACAAGGGGCATGTTCTTAGAGTTAGATCACACAGGATTGAAACCAGGAAACACTTTCCCCACATAAATTATTGAGTATCACTGATCCACTCCCTCAAAAGACTGTCAAAAGCTGGGTCGGTTGAAATTTTCATGACTGGAGGTCTCAAGGTGTTATGAAGTGAGGGCAATTAAAAAGACTTCAGGTATATGAGGTAAATTAATAGACTCAAGGTGTTGTGCCTATATTCAACTCCTCTTTAGCATCTCTTCATCCTCCAACCCAGCACTGTTTTCAGCCTTGTTAGGCCTAGCATGTTCTCCGCCAATCTTTCTATCTCTCAAAAACCTATCTGAGTTTAGTTGTGCTCAACAATTCTCTCAACCATCTTCAGGCTGCTCCTGGTTCAGTTATCACTTCTTGTTTTGCAACACTTGTGTTAAATATGCCATAAAAAGTGCAGGTCATAGCCAGTGAGTTCCTACAGTGAGCTGCCTTATGGAGTGTAGCTAATCATTATGATCAGAACTAGTCATTAACTGGGTGAGGCAAATTCAGTTTATATTCCAGGGAATTCATGTGTTTATCCTGAAATGCAGTGCAGTCATGCCATGCAAATGCCTGTGTGATCTAACTCTGTGTGTCCAGGCCTGTTCTTACTTTCAATCCAGATGGCTGAATTATCTGTTTTTCCTCAAATATTTCTGTGTATTTTCAATTCACAGCTTTATTTTTGACATATCAGTGTTTACATTTGTTTGTTATTACTTTGGGGAGGTAGTGGCATATTGGCAATGTCACTGGACAGAGCTCCTGGCTAATGTTCTGGCCACACAGGTTTAAATTCCACCACAGTAAAGGATGAACTCTGAATTCACTAAAAATCAGGAATAAAAAGCTTGCCAATATGTCAATTGTCAGGGAAAATCCATCTGGTTCACTAATGTCCTTTGGAGGATGAAATCTTCCACCCTTACCCGGTCTGGCCTACATATGAATCCAAACCCACAGCAATGTGGTTGGCCCTTAACTGTCCTCTGGGCAAATAGGGGGACGACTAATAAATTCCAAGCAGCGTTCACATCCCATGGATGAATTATTTTTTAAAAATCATTTGTCAGCAACAGTTTATTTTTAATGATTGCTATTTTCCTGTTTTTTTTCACCCAGGCATCGCCCTGCCTTTTTACTGGTCCATTAAGGTCTCTGATTGTGAATTTTGATTGGACCTTCTTGGCTGCAGCTTGTTTACCCGGGGCTCAACTGACCTTGTTGGCTCAGTCAGTCAGAGACTCCCACTGTCAACAATGAAGAAAACCCCTGCTGGTGCTCACTGACGCCGTGCCTGTTTCATCAGACTTTCGTGGCTTTTCTCTGTCTCTCTCTCTCTCTACTACTTTTTCTTCAAAAAAAAAGCAACAGAGATGTGGGTATCTTTGGCTTTAGTATCACCCTTCCCCACCCGCCTAAGGAGCTGTGTTCTCATCAAAGGGCCCAGTACTGACTCCTCCTCCCAACCTCTCGCCTTTTGTAAAAAGACTCTAGCTCCTTCACCAGTGACTTGAGAATTTACTGAATAAAGTCCGCTTTATTTTCTGGCTTCCTTCTCCGCCAGCTGTTGATTTCCACCCCTTATCCTTTTCTATCTATTTATTTACTTATTTGCTGGAGATTCAGGGGACTGACAACCCCACCCCCCTCCCTCTCCTGTCAGACATTTCATTTCCATACTCAGCTCCTGCTCTCGTTGTTCTTTCTGGGGCGTCTCGTACCTGCTTCCTCGCTCCTGATGCTGATGTTGCCGTCTCGTTGCAGAATGACAGTCCTGGCTCCGCTCAGCCTGCCCGGGAAAAGCTGCGTGTCTCCGGGCCGCCGCTGGCGCTGGAGCGTGCTGCAGCATTGGTAGCACACGGCCCAAGCCTGCTCCTCATTCAGCGGCTGGTTGTACAGTTTAAGGATTTGCTCCAGGGATAGCTCCTGGGATTCCGGGTCGTGAGAGTCCGCCTGGGCACCGCATTCCGGGGCCGGGCTCCCGGAGCATCGCTCTGCCATGGTCTGCACAGACGGGCTCTGTCTGTATGTGTCTGGATCCGAACACAACAGCAGTTAAACCTTCTCTACACCATCGGCAGTAGGAATAAAACCAGCACCGTCTTCTCCAACCTCTGCATCATTATCGCGGTGACAGGGAAGATTCTATAGCAGCACAGCCACAATGTCAGCTCCTCACACATAAACCAGCGGCTTCTGATTAAATCCAATCATATGACTCTGTCTCTGCCTGGGAGCCAGAGAGCACTCCTGCTGTGTGGTCCAAAAGCCCGCCTCCTTTGCTTGCATTTTCCATGTTCATGTTAGTTTCGATTTATTAATTCGCAGGAATGTGGGCGTCCCTGCCTGGGTCAGCATTTATTGCCCATCCCTACTTCCCATTAAGAAAGTGGCGGTGAGCTTCCTTCTTAAATCACCGCAGTCCTTTTTGTTTTGGCGTGGTTATACCTACAGTGCAGTCAGGCAGTTCTAGGATTTTGACCCAGCTACACTTAAAAGTGCTATGTTTCCAAGTGAGGATGGTGAATGGTTTGGAGGGGGTACCTGCAGGTGGAGGTGTTCCCGCGTATCTGTTTCCCTTGTCCTTCGAAGTGGTAGAGTTGACAGGTTTGCGAAGTGCCGTCAAAGGAGGCTTTGTGAGTCATTGCAGTATGTCTTGTAGATGGTACACACTGTTGCTACTGTGTGTCGGTTGTGGAGGGAATGGATGTGGTGCCAATCAAGCGGGTTGCTTTGTCCTGGATGGTGTCAAGCTTTTTGAGTGTTTTTGGGGCTGCACCCATCCAGACAAGTGGGGCTTATTTCCATCCCACTCCTTACAGATGATATACAGGCTTTGGGGAGTCAGGAGATGAGTTACTCACTGCAGGGTTCCTCGATTCTGACCTATGCTTGGAGCTGGTTTAAATCAGTTTTTAGTCAGCGGTAAAACCCCAGTATGATGATGGTGTGGAATGTCAAATGGAGGTGATTAGACTATTATTGGAGAACTACATTCCTTGTAACTATTTGATACACTGCATCATTTGCTGCATTGTAACAGCAAGTAGGGAGTGAATATAAGAGAAATGGATGACGGATGAAGTAAAACAAATTATTCTCCCCTCCTGCCAGCTGTGACTCAAGTTGTTGTTTGAAATTCAAATAAGAACTGCAAATGCTCAAAATAGTTGGCAGGACCATCAGGAAGTGAAAGGAAGTGTATTGTTTTGGGTGACGATGCTGTGCTGAGTGAATGTGTGAGACACAGCTTTCAAGATGCTGGACAGAGAGTCTTTACTTCGAACAAAGTGAGAGGTTCCCTAATATCTGATATTGTGCAAATTGTCTGTCCCATTTTATTGGAACGGGAAATTCAGACAGATGAAAATGCAGTGAATAATGTATGAGCAAAAACAGCTGGCTTTTTTACCACAAGGAAAACGTCCCAAAACAGAAAATATCAAGAGAGTGATCAAAAAAAAACAAATTAAACAGTTATATAAGGCAAAATCAGGACAGGTAATTAAAAGTTTGCCCAAAGATAATAACTTAAATAATCTCTTACAGGAGAAGGGAGAGTTGTACACAGGTTACTTTAGGGAGGGGATTCCAGAGATGAGCTTAGACTAATAATGGTGTGGCTGAGGTGTTATGATCCCAGATAATGGTCATATATGGATGAATCAGATCCTAGAGTGAGACCTGGCTTGATAGAACATAAGTTTTTTTGTTTACTTTAGAGATCAGTCACTGAATAAAACTCAGAGGAGGCTTCCAGCGTACTTTTAACAACAAAAAATACATTTATTACACAAAAAAACAACAAACTTGATTACACTATACAAGAACTATTTGAAACAAACTCATTATAAATGTTAGGAAGAATCAATTCTTTAATGTCAATAACGGTCTTACAGACACCCAAATCATAGTGAAAGGTCATCCCTATCTGTACCATAAAGCTTTTGTTAGCTGGCACAGCTGTAATTGGTTTCTCTTTTGGCAACTATCTGTGAATTTGCCCAATGCAATTTTCTGCAATTAATATCTCTCCCCTAGATTTTTAAACAACCTGCTAACCCAGCTCACTATTACAACTGACCATGGGTTCTTTAACCTCATGCCTTCAACAGCTTTAGAAGATGTCTTCCTCGCTAACATCTCTATATCATTGTGCTTCTGAAGTTTTCTTCAAAACAACTCAGGACTTCTCCCAGTCCTGCCCTGATTGCCTTGGAGACTATTACTTAGATCATCTATTATGATAGAACTCTCTGAATGGACCTATTTCTTTCTCTCTCTCTCTTACTGTTTAATGAAACTCAACTCATCAGATACGTTGGTAATTATTTCCCCCAGGAAGCTCGCTAGTCCTTTAGCTAAAATCATATGATTTCTCAGAAAAGCTGATTTTACCCCACTATCCAAATGATGTTCTCACTAATTAAAAAAAACTTCACAGAATTAAAAGCTAAGAGCCGAGGGAAATTTGACACATTTGATCCAAAATTGGCTTATTGACAGGAGGGAGAGAGCAATGGTCAAAGATTGTTTTTGTGATTAACTGCCAGCAACAAATTGTGTACCACACGGTTTGATGCTGGATCCCTTGTTGTTTGTAGTGTCAATTAATAAACTAGACATGAATTTATGATCACTAAGTTCAAGATGTTGAAACTGTGGAATTCTTTACTGCGTGGGGTTTTGAGTTTAGGTCATTAAATATACTCAAGGCTGAGATAGATTTTTAATCAGTAAGCGAATCAAGGGTCATTTTGAAGTGGAGTAGAGGATTATCAGATCAGCTATGATCTTACTGAATGATGGAGCACAGTCAATAGGCTGAATGGCCTACTCCTGCTCCTTTGTCTTACGATCTTGTGACACAAAAATTGGTAGTATGATAAATAATGATGAGGAAAGGCATGGACCATAGCCTGATATAATCAGGCTGGTCAGATGGGCAGATCAATGTCAGTGGAATTTAGTCCTGAAAGGTGTGAGGTGGTGAACTTTGGGAAGACCGACATAGTGAGGGAGTACACAATGAATGGTGGGTCCCTAGGAAGTACAGAGAATCAGATGGACTTTGGTGTGCATGTCCACAGATCATTGAAGGATCCTGGCAACTGGACAGGTAGATTAAATGGTTAAAAGGCATATTGGATATTTGCCTTTATTAATCGAAGCATTGATTACAAGAGTAGGAAGGGTACAATGTGGCTATATAAAACATTAGTTAGGATATGATTGTACGAGAGAGGGTGCATTGTTGATGTACCAGCCTATTGCCTGGGCTGGAGTGTTACAGCTATGAGGAGAGACTAGATAGCTGGAGTTGTTTTCAACAGGAAGTGAGCTGAAATGGGCAATAGTAGGCAGTACAAATAGCTAGTCCTGCCAATAGGGTGGATATGGAATCAGTCTAAGATTGTGTAGCATAGCTAATACTGTAGCTAAGATGAAGTCAGTGCAGTTCTTTGCCACAGTTGTGCTGGGAAGCCCATTGGCAACAATGAACTCTCAAAGGAATCTCATATTCTGTCATCATCAGGTAAGAGTGAAATGCTGTGCATTTATAGCGTTTCAGCATCCTACTTTACAATCAATGTGGCAGATTCCACAGTATCAGGAGCTTGAACATGTTTCCAGAGACATCAGAGACATATCTAGACCTGACTGCTTATGAACTTGCCAGATGTTTACTCATTTCAATACTGTTCACTATACTTTCTGTCACTTCAGATTACAGTTTGAGAATACCATTGAGATCTTCTTGTGGTAGCTTTTGTGATAAGCTCCTGTGAATACTTCACCTGTCTGTTAGCCTCACTTGTCTTAATAAAGGTAGTAAGGGCTGAGCTTTTAACTCTTTGCTTGCTTTAGATATGTCAACAGTATCTCATTGCTTCCCACAGTTTACAGGTTTTAATGTTCACCCTGCATAATATCTTAACATCCTTAACTTGGTATTTATACATTTCCACCTTTCCCACTGTTGCAGTTATTTCTCAATCAGCATCATTGGAGCAGACTCTCGGGTCACTCTCACATTGCCACTAATAGGAGCTTGCTGTGTTAGTGTTGTTGCAGCTGCACCCATCCAGGCAAGTGGAGAATATTCTATCACAGATCTACTCCAAAACCTTATTCTATCACACACCTGATTTGTACCTTGCACACATTGGATAGGTCTTGGAGAGTTAGGAGGTGAGTTACTGCTACAGCCAATTTACACATATAGCAAGATCCTACAAAGAATAATTAATCACTGACCAGATAATATGTTTGTCATGACATGGGTTGAGGTGTGAATAGTGACAAGGACACTCCAGATATATAGATTATAAGGCATTCAGATGAGTTAGAAAGGCGGATAGAAGAGGAGGGGCGTTTGAAGGAAAAATCAATCAACAGATTCAGTAAAGTAATAGATACATTTCTGCTGAAAAGCAGGATAAAGGGCTATGGGGACCAGGCAGGAAAGTGGAGTTGAGACCAGGATAAGACCAGCCATGATCCTGCTAAATGGCAGAGCAAGCTTCAAGGGTTGAACTGCCTACTCACACTCCTAATTCCTATGTAATATTGATCAAATAATCAATTATAGCAGTGAGGAGAGGTGATATATTGGAAGGACCGTCAAATGAGGCCATGTGAGTACAACAGAAAATACAAAAAATACAAACATGCTGTTGAGTCTGCACTATAGACAATAAATCAGGAAGAGATAGATGATCAAGTATGTAATCAAAATACAGAGAAGTGTAAGAATAATAACACATTAACAATACGGAATTTTAACTTCCCCAGGTATTAACTGAAATAGTTTTATTATGCAAAGTAAGAATGGAGCAAAATTCTTAAATTTTATCCAGGACAACTTTTTTAGCTAGTACGTAGAAAGCCCAACAAGGGAAGGAGCAATTTCAGAAATGAAGACAAGCAGGTGGAAGGCATATCAGTGGTGGAGCATTTTGGAGACAATGATCATAACTCAGTTAGAATCAGGATAGTTATAGAAAAGGATAAAGATGGGTCAGGAATAAAGGCTTTTAACTGGAGAAAGTTAATTTTACTAAAATGAGATACAATTTTGCCCAAGTGGGCTGGGAACAGCTACTTGCAGATTAAACTGTGCCGGAGCATTGTGTGGCATTCAAGGAGGAAATAAGGACTGTACAGGGAAAATAAGTTACTGTAAAAACGGAGGGTGAAAATATCCGGAGAACCCTGAATGTCAAGAGATGTAAAGACTAGGGTTAAGAAAAAAGAGG